TTATTGTTGTCTTTAGTCTTCTGCCCCAATTAAAAATTATTTGTATGTATTTATATGCGAAATTATACCCCGACTTATGCGAATTCGACTTACGCGGTTATCGCTCGGTCCCACCTATCGCATAAGTTCGGGGTATTACTGTACTAATTCTCACCAAAAGCTGGATAACACTACTGATATCATTCACAATTTTGGCTAGAAACATCTTACTAATCAAATTAATCAACAAGGAGAAGTTATTATGAATATCTATCATCTCTAACTTCAAATATCTAAAACTTTTTGAATTTGCAGATACTATATTAGTCAGTGTTATTTCTAGTTATTCAATCACAATCATAACTGTATGCATCCCAATCATTACCAGGATAGATCCTTATACTTACAAAGATTTTTAAAATTCTTTTAGAAATTTGTGCTCTCATAAAATTATACTTTTAGGTGGTTTTAACTCCAAAAATATTCGATGGATAGCTGGTCTTGTAAAGTACTATATTATTTTTCCGACTTTCCAGCGATTATCGACACTACTGTGTGCCGGAAATAGCCGTTCCCTAACGGGTACTTTACGCGGATTCGCGTTAGTGTGCCAGGCCTGGACTTTAAGCGTGCACCGAATTAAATAATGACAAAGTTTGTCAATAACAAAATCAAATATTTAATTAAACTTCTAGTAATAAACTATATACAGTATTTAGTAAAAATCAAACAATAATTTATTCAATGAAATTCAACAAGAATCAATCCGACAAACTCAAATCAATCTATTTCTAACTTAATTCTATTCCCCTTTGGAATTCGACAAAATCAAAGAATTAACTTATAAACAATAATTCTTATAAATTAAAGATCCTAATCGTCACCTCAATATACTAGGAACCTATTTCCTCAAACTCTCAAGACTTTCTATAATCGTCGATCCACAAATCGAATAACTTCAAAATCCTATCGGACACCTCTCTCGTTCACTGCTACGAAGCTCACCAAAGCTCGTTGCTATCAGGAATTCACCTCGTTCGTTTTCACTTGAGTTAGAGGCTTTATAGTGTGAGGTGACGTCACAATTCTGAATGAGCTCACTCTCCTCATTTACATACTTATCTGTAACATTAAATTTTTCTTGTTTATCTGGCAGATTATTTTCCGACAATACTTCGCTAACCTTTTACATTATTCTTTTTAACAATTATCGGGATGCTTTATTCTTTTAAGGTTTAGCGATTCCTAACTGGGTTGTGGGGTCTTCCCCCCCCTTTTTCTCGGTGCGGACTTACTTTTTTCTGCTTGGGAAGCGCAAGTGTGCGCGAGTTTTTCTACGGCGCTTTTCTTTCGTCGGTGAGTTGGTTTTTCTTCTATTTTTAAGTTACTAAGGTGAATGGTGAGGAAACCTTCGTTTTAACTAAACATAAGCCCCAAACAAAATATAATGAAAGCAAAATAAAAGTAAAATAAAAATAAAGCTCAGACTTGGTTCCTTACAGTCTCCCCTCTTACTCTCAATCTTAGTATTATGAACAAATTTTTTCTAAATGATATTTATTATTTTTTTGATTTCAAACAATTTGTGTTTTTCAACATGTGAGAAATCTTTTCTTAATCTAGTTTCTTTGTCTTAACATCCATATCATTATTAACCCAATTAGTAGTTTTAAATCCAATCATTCTATTGTTTTGCCAGATCTTTCTATTTCTCATTCCCTTAAAATACTCAGTAACTTTACTTTAATTCCAAAATAGAAGGATTTCCAATGGAAAGATACCTCAAAACAATTATGTTCCATACATTTGTCTTTTCTCATTTAGTCTAAATATACCTTACAACTAAAACGTACTGTTTATTTAAACAAGGTAAGTCCAGAAAGTAAGTTCCATTTGTAACTCTTGCTGTAGCAGTGCTGCAATTGCAATTATGTGCATCTGCACTGAGTTTGTTGATACATTAGCAAGATTTACACCACAGGTTCTCAAACTTATTTCAACCACCACCCACTTTGAGATTAAAAAATCTAGTGCCCCATATTTTTTAATTTACATTTTTACATTACCATTTGTTGTGTATCTTAAAAACAGTTATTGCAAATATAATGTTTAAACATGTATTATTATATGGATAGGATAAATAGGGTGTGACCAATATCCTATTTCTGAGATCAAAGAATGTTTCAATGAGAAGAAATAAAACTCATGTTTAATCACTGAGCCTTCTACTGCCCCCCTGAAAGTCTCCAGCACCCACAAGGGGGCGTTATCGCCCACTTTGAGAAAGGATGGTTTACACTATTTGTAGACAATAAGTTATTGCAGAAATTTCATAGTTTGTGTTTATAATGTTCAAGAAAATTGAGACAACTGTTGAATGTGAGATGCACACTGTGATTCACTTTTTAAATGCAAGAAACATTAAACCAGCAGACAAATTCACTGACAAATTTGTACGTGTATGGAGAATATGTAATGAGTACTTCAATGAGATGGAAATTCTGACAAATATCATGAAAACATGCATCATGATGAACAAAGTGGAAACCCATCTTTGGTGACTGAAGACTTACTGCATGAAATTGAAAAGAAGAATAAAGATAATAGATGATTCATCATGTCATCTGTCATTGCATTTTCTACAAATTTCATGTTCTTTATTTCATAAAATTGTATTGAAAAAAATTGCATTTCTGCAAACTGTGTGCCTGCCAGGTTCCAAAATGGCTTACAGAAGACCACAAAAAGAAATATCTACGCAGTACCTTAGAATTTTTAACATGGTATTATCATGTTAAAAATTGATGACTTTTTAAGCTCTATCACTGGGGATGAGACTTGCTTATGGTGCCTGAAACAAAATGACAGTTCATATAGTGGAGGCACACTTCATCACCAAGAAAGACAAAAGCAAAATCAATGCTGACCACTGAAGATCATGTGCACAATGTTTTGGGACTTATAAGGAGCATTGCATTTGGATTTTATGTTGCCAACAGAAAAAATAATGCCAGCAGCTATTGCAAAACACTTAGGAAATTGCATTGTGCAATACAGAATAAGCAAAATGCATGTTAAGCTAGGGTATTGTTTTCATTCATGATAATGACCAGTCTTCACACTGAGAATGCAATGCACCAACTCTTGACATCTTTCAGCTGGGAACAATTTCCTCATCCCTCTAGAGTCCAGACTTGACACCTAGTGACTTTCATCTCTTTTTGCACTTAAAATCTTTTTTCTTGATGGCCAGCAATACAAAACTATCAAAAAAGCCAAAGATACTGTTACCACATGGTTTGGCTTCTCAGGATAAAGATTTTTATGATCAGGAATATAACAACTTGTGTCCCACTGTAAGTGCCTCAATAGTGAAGGCAACTATGTTAAAAATTATTGTAAGGTGTGTACATAGTGTACATAATAAAAACTTACATTTATTTTATAATCCATGTGTGTGTTTTATTTATTACCTAATGGAACTTTCTGATCATCTTTGAATTTTTTACGCCACTCAAAAACATGCATTCTGGACATGGCTTCATCCTTGTAAGCCTCATGGATCATGTCCAAAGTCTCAATAGTGAATTTGTTCAATTAAGCGCAAAATTTGATGGCAAAACACTGCTCAATGGTTTGCTGCATCTTGACTCTTGACATGAGCATTAAACACACTTTCACTTCGGGTGCACTTCACTTTCACTTCCAAGCTTTTGGAGTGTGTAGATTACACACTCCAAAGGCTTGGAGACAACTGAGTTGGGTCTCATAGCTTATGTGACATCCCCACCACTGAACCCGCCCATAGAAACCATCCTCCATCCATTCCCATTAACAGGAAAAAATCAGTTCAGATACTTATTGGACAAACACTGTATAATAAAACAAAATTTTTAAATGAATATTTAAAATGGAAAAATGTTTATATTCAAAAAGATGGATAACCATTTATTAAATTGTACAAATTCAATATCATTTTGGAAATGAGTTAACTCAATTTGTCCTAAGATGAATGATGGTTGACCATTCATCTTAGGACAAAATGAGAATATCATAATTTTTTATTTTAACAAAGAAATGGATTGTTTTGGATGGTTTATTGCACATTATTTGAATTAGATCAAGCTGTAAATTGTATGAGAAAAGCTGCTACACCTGGTATGGATTTAATTTTGGGTTTTTTTTTTTTTTGGTTTATAAAACAACTTTCTTCTCAAGTTAAGAGATATACAGATCTCAAGATGTAGTTGAATAAATATTACAAGTTCTAGAGAGCTAGTAGTCTGTAGTTAAATATTCTATAATTTATAAATGAAAAAAGGGCTAGTAGATTTAAAAAATTTCAGGATTTCAGGAATAGGAAAACTTTCTAAATATTGATACAAAGATTTTCTTTCTTGTATACCATGGGAGATCAATTAAATACATTTTAAAAATAAAATTACTCTGATCTTTCAACAGTCCTTTTTATTAATATTGAAGAGATGTACTTACATCAGATGCACTTCAAACTATATTATCTAACAGTTCCTCTTCAGTGGTAAAAACACAAAGTAAACAACATTACTATGTTATTTACTTTGTAATATGTATATGAACACTCTGACATATAAGAGTGCCAAGATACCTATCCAGAGATAGGTATCTTGGCAACCTTTGTATTTAAAAAATTCAAATTCTTAAAGTAGTTATTCTGATTTATTTGTATATAATTATTATTATTATATTTCATATTAAATATATATATATATTTAATATGAAATATAATATACATAATGATGTATTTATTATGTATATTATATTTCATATTAAATATCATTTCCAATTTAAAATTTATTATTACATAATTAAAGATTATTATTTAAATAAAATAGTTATAATTTAACTGATTAAAAATTTAATACTTATAGATTAATATATAAATATTTGTTAAAATGAAAATATATTTTGTATTCTTCAATTAAATGGTTAGGTTAAGAGTAGATTATAAACAGACTTGAAAAATATACTAAAGAGCTTACTTTATCTGGTTGCATTACTTCAGCTAAACATTTTTCTGCATCTTCTTTATTTATGAATTGTACAAATGCAGTTCCTTTAGGATAATCAGTTAATTTATCAATGCAGAGAAGACAATATTTAATTTCACCAAATTTAGACATAGCTTCCTTCAGGCTATCTGCAGTGGTATCAAATGATAAATTTCTAATAAATAAAGTCTTTCCTTCATGAGCATCATTTGGTCTTTGTGGCTTTACTGTTTTTATTTTCTTCTTTGGTGGACTTTCTTCTACTTCCTCTGAAAACAATATAAATAAATGATCTAACAAACAGAATTTGAACTTAAACAGAAATCACAATCAGAATTTGTCATTCATCTTTTTTTAATCCATTCTGATGAAATTTTGTCAAATAATGATGAAACAAAACATGAATTTTTATGTACAGTACTTAAGATCTGCATGTATAAAAATAACAAGAAAAAAATAAAATTAAAACAATTATTTATTGTGATATCGTCACAATGCCAGGCTGCAATTTTTAATCATATTCTTAATTTATTTAATTTAAAACATACATTCTCCATCTCAAATTTATAGTGTCTTGCCCCTGTACATCAGGGATTGCACTTTTCCTGATAACAACAGTCATGCCAGCCATCTACATAACTCCATACAGGGGAAAATTTTTAAATTGAATTCATGTGATTTCCAGTCTAGACCAGAAGTTCATATATAGTTAATCAGGGCCTCCTGTCTCTAGCTTTCCATATCTGATCTTGACTTTCATCTATCTAGCACCATTCTCGAGATTAAGGAAGGATAGACAACAGTAGGAATTTACAAGTCTACAATTTTTTCAAATTGCAGCCCAACAATTATTTAAATAAAATATTGTAATAAAATAAATTTCAAAAAATTATAAAATGTAATTTTTGGAAATAAAAGCATTGATAAAATGCAAAATATGATCTATGCAATGACATCAACAGCCAAGTAAGATTTTAATATGATGAAAACAAAGAATTCCAAAGTACCAAACAATTAAATGTAACAGTGATATCAAAGTGTATTTTTTCTACATGAAATAAACACAGCTGAAAAAAACAAACAACAAGCAATTTTGAAAAGTAATTAAAAAGTAATTTTTCATATTGTTCTTTCTTCATAAAACAAGAATTTTGCTATAAGAAATCATCATAATATCCAAATTGTAATATATAAAAATTTACATTGCCCACTTTAGTGCTCCTTGCAAAATTTGGTCACAGGTATGAATTTCAAGTTATTCCATTTTATAATAAATTGCACAAAATTGACAATCTTCCCTCATATGCTAACTTCTTTAACCTAACATTTCTTCCAAGCTAGTGTTAAGTGTCCATTCACCCAAAAGTGAATTAATTAATCATTCTACATCAAAAGAACACAAATCCTAAGATCATTATTTATTATTTTTTAAAGTGGAGAGCTAGCACTAAGAATTAAAATAATTCTTATTTTTTTTTCTTTTATGCTTTAAAAACTTAAGTCTTCACTAACAAGATAAATATTGTTTTTCGTTCTGGTTTTAAACTATATAAATCACTGTAATGATTTTATTTTAATATAACATAACAAAGCATTGAATTTGTAAAAAACTTCTAAAAATACCATATTTACTTACATATAAGACAAGGTTTCTATTCATTTTTTACTGCTTCAAAAACCCTAGGTTGTCCTGTATACACGAGTGAAGAATTCTTTGCATTTTTGCAATAATTTTTATAAACCGTGTATTCACATTTTTTACTGGATATTCACCCTCTGGTATTTAAAAACAAAGCTATTTTATCTCAGTCATTTGAATAGTTCTTGTGTATTGTCAGGAGTAAAGATGAATAGCAATAAGAAAAGCAAAGCTTTCAAATTGAATTCCAAATTGAAATTCCAAAATCGGCCTATCAACGGCCAAAGAGTTCGTTCCCTGAATACTGGGAGTTCGTTCTTGGGTTCACGCCTCACTAGAACAAGCTGGCCACATGGTTTTCTGAGTTTTCTCCATGTTTGTAACATCTGAATAGTTATGCAGTTAACCTTAAAAAGACCACCTGGAAGGCATACTTCTAGGCAGATTGCATAAGTGTTGCATTGCCATAACTTAACAAAACAAACAAATGAAATTCCAAAATCACACAGAAGTCCAATATAAGTTTTAATCCATTTCCACGTGAAAACAGTTGATTATTCGGAAATCAAATTCGGAGAGACTCATATGTGTAATCGATGGAGAGTGTATTTGACTGTTAAGAATTGGCAAAAAAGGTTCCCGACTGTCCAATTTACATGAACAAATTATATTGCCGATTTTACAAGACTTTTCCTTAAAGTTTAAAATGCTAGTAATTTTTGTGGGACAATGCATGCATTTACAGGCATTTGATATTTTATTTGTGATTAAATGAAATAAAATTAGAATTGTATTAATATATCTAATTTTCTTTATTTCGATCTTTAAAGTCACACACTGTCCTATATGCAAGATCGTCTGATATGCAAGTAAATATGGTATTTAAATTAAATCCAAAATTTAGGTAGAAGATTTGTAATATTTTAATATTTCTTAGATATTAAAATATTACTAAAAGTTTATTTCTATCAACTAAATAATTTATAGATAAAAATAAATATTCATATCATAATAATATTCAAATTAGCATAATGGCATGCTTGCATACAATATAAAATTTAAACCAACAAGTATTAAGTTAAGTTCTACTAATAGATTAGAGATAAAAATACTATAGTCTTATGTTATAATTTCTGTAAGACTTTCTCTTTTGAGAATGCTTAGCATAGTCTGCATGAAAGAATCTATTAATTTTAAAAAATTAGCAATAAGAACATACATTGTTATCTTCAAAATAAAGTTTAGGAGATGCAAAATCATGTAAGATAGGTAGTGCTTGCGATATCATTTTCAGTACTTTAATTTTTTATTTACATTTCTAAAATTGTTTGACTGAAAGACATTTTCTTGTAATGTTTTATCATTTCTAAATTTCCATATCACTTTGTGCAACCTTACCATATATTTTGCAATCTAACTTTTGCATTTTAAATAGCTTTGCAAAAATTATTTTACCATCTTCTTGTGCAAAAATATTATAAACAATTCAAATTCATTATTAACATGTACATTTTACTCATCAACAAAAATTTTTAAGATATGAAAAGTCATTTTATAAAATTTAAAAATGAATTTTTGACATTTTAAAGTTTTAAAAATTGAATTTTTTCAAAAATTTCTTCATTTTTATTTATCATCATAAAGTTATGTATATTATATAACTACAATCAGATTTAATTTAATAAATATAAATATTATACAACATTAAATAATTAAAATTTCAGTTTTTATAATATTCTACTATATTCATAAATCACCTTTTAAAACTGAACTTTCATCATCATCTGAACTCTCATCTTCACTATCATTTCCTGATTTATCTTCATCTTCTGATTCATCTTCACTTTCCTCATTATCTGTAGAATCACTCTTATTTTTAAGGTCTCTTTCATGTAGCTTTCGTTTTTTCCTAACCAGCTTAGTTGATTGTTCTTCACTTTCTTCTTCTTCTGAGGATGTCTTTTCCTTTTCTACATTAAAATTACTGTGTGTTTGATTTTTCTGTGACATTAACTTCTGATATCTGTCCTTTGCTACTGCAAAATCAATTGCAACAGGTCTTCCTGATAAATGAAATAAAATTTGTTTTAACTGACAAGAAATGTAAAATAATTTTTGAAATATTTCAATTATTATAAAATTACAATATTTATCATTTACCTAATATTTCTTTTGCATTCAATCCATTAATAGCTTTGATGGCAGATGCTGTTTTCTCAAATTCAACAAATGCAAAGCCTCTCATTTTTCCATCTAAATAAAATATAAAATTAAGAGAAATATAGTTATAATATGAAATGTCAAAATATAAAAAACTTTAAAAGATAGTTATAATGTACAAAAACAACTGGGTAATGATTTTTCAGTAACTGATATTTATTCTAATTATCAAATACTTTAAAAACAACAATTAAAAAAGAACAGAATATAGAATTATTTGCATTATAACATCAACAATTGTGATTTATATACAATAACAATTTTTTGAATCATTAATGTTGTCAGTTGGATGATCATGAAGCAAAGATATTTGCCTGTCACTATGAGGAATGAAACAATTGTAAAGTTGAACCTTTACAATTGTTTCATTAGTTTGGGTCCGATATGTTAAGGCCTTACTCCTTACTACTCAATCATTCTAATGCAGTATTGGTCAAAACCATATCAGGTACAAAATAGAGATTCCCTTAATGCAGGGGTCACCAAACTACAGCCTGTGGGCTGAATCCGGCCCGTGAAGTCAGTTCATCGGACTGATTGCCACACTGTGCCACAAATGAGCTAAAATATAATTACATAGACGGTTTTTTTTCAACCTCTGATGGTCCATAAAACAAAGACAAGTGTAAATAACAAAATTAATTTATTAACAAAAGTTAGGTGCAAACATGGTTACTTTTTGACATAACCTCATGAAGATTGAGGCATTTGTCATATCTGTGGACAAGCTTTGCAATCCCCTCTTCATAGAATGTTGCTGCCAGCGACTTGAGATGGCCAGGAGAGGGACTTATGTCGCCTCTCCTGGAACCAATTACTGACGTAAGGCGAGGTATACCTGTACAGTAAATTAATTTTGTTATTTACACTTGTCTTTGTTTTATGGACCACTGGATGTTGAAAAAACCACCCTCGTATTTATATGGAAATATCATAGATTGTAGATAAACTTACTATGTAAATAAAATTAAAATAAGTGTAAGTAAAAATGCCAAAATTGGTCTAAACTGATTTTTTCATCTGACAGTAATATAATTTTTAGATAAATTGGTGAAATAAAAACTTCAACTTTTTGCAACTTTTAATATCAGAGTTTTTTTTTTGTATAAGTACCTGCAATGAAGTTTCTAAGGAAAGCAATTACAAGCTTGTTGCAGTGATCGTGTTTGTGTATTGGTAAATAAATATGTTGGTTTTCTTTATTTTTTGTGTATTCAGTGTGCTGTATTGAACAAAATGGTTATGGGGCCCATGCTCATCATTCTCTCAGTTATGTAGCCCACTATGAAAAAAGTTTGGTAACCCCTGTTTTAATGTATTGTAGATAAAGAGCTAAAAAATGAAATAATTTTAAAAATGAATTAACACAAGACAATATTTGATGAATAGTAGTCAAAAAAAAAAGAAAGAAAGAAAGAAATGAAAAGAAATAAACTATTTTAATACTAGTAATAAAATATTTCTTATGTTTCTTATAACAGATCTTTATATTATAGGATTATTATTCCTATTTTGATTTCTGTTAAGATGAATATTTGCTAAACTTTTAAGCAAATATTCATCCTAAATGTCATTAAAAGTTTTTCATTTAACATTAGTTAGTAAAAAATATAATATTAAAATTTTATACAACCAACCAAAAGCCAAATTAATCAAGCAAAAATTATACTACAAATATTAATTAAAAATTGCATGACAAGAACAACTAGAGGTAAATGTTAGGTGTCATCTATTAATGAAAGTAGTAACTATAATTTAATTTTAAATTTAGAATAGTCTGGAAGAAAAGAATTGGCCCAGAGCGGGAGTTGAACCCACAACCTCTGCATGCAGTGCATGGAGGTCTGGGTGGCATAACTGGTCAGTGCACCGCATGGTAAGCAGATGTTGTGAGTTCAACTCCCTCTCTGGACCAATTCTTTTCTTCCAGACTATTCTAAATTTAAATTTAAATTATAGTTACTACTTTCATTAAGAGATGGCACCTAACATTTACCTCTAGTTGTTCTTGTCATGTAATTTCTAATTAATATTTGTAGCATAATTTCTACCCGATTAATTTGGCTGTTGGTTGGTTGATTATTAAAACATCAGGTTCTTGGAATGTTTATATATTAAAATTTTACCAAAACCAGTCAATAATAATATTCAAATATAGTACACTCAACTCGCCTTAAAACAAACATTGATAAAGTGAATTCTTCTGCCATTGTGCCCTGGCAAAAATTTTTTATAGCCAATGCCATTGTCACAATGTTAGTTTTCATGCAATAAAGCAAATAAAAATTTTACCAGAATTCATTAAACCAAACAGTAAATTCCCTTCATAACCTCCAAGAAATAACCCTATTTTCAATAATGATTTTATTATTCATGTCAAAAAGTGTAAGAAGAAAAGCAGTACTGCAATAAATGTTATTTTGAATAAAAAAGATGATGTTCTAGTAAGCAAAGACTGCATTTGACCTCTAATTGTAGAGTAATTCAAGCATCTGGTTTTAGCAAACCATTCTATTGTACTCAGAAAATAGTTTAAGGACATCCAGATCACCTCTTTAAATAAATGTAGTCCCATGCAAACACATGCTAGTTTGCATATTAAAGGTGCATACATGATGATTTTGAGCCAAATTTGGCTCCTTTTCTTTTACTCTTTTGGCATCAAAAAAGTATTTTCTACATTTTTAATTTAATTTAATTAAACAATCTTCAACAGAAAAAAAATCACAATTTATTTTAGCTTTGTTTTGTTTAACCACTCTGATATACTGCTCCACACTTAAATGGCTAACACTGTTTCCTCCTCATTTTGTTTGATTTGAAAATAATTTATATTGTTAATTTATTTTCGTAAATAAATTTTATTTTATTTAACTTTAATTAATAGTAAATTAATTAAAAATATCATAATTTAAAAATTTTTATTGTTTATTAATTCTTAACTCCATAAATTATACAATTGTGACCTTAACCCTAAAAATCATTAATTTTGATAAAACAAACTAATTACAGTAGATCCCCCTATAAAACCGTTTCCTATAGTTATGATTCCTATAAATATTGTGGCAGTATCCGTAAACAACGGTAAAAATAACTCCTATAATACGTAAAACGTCATCGGGCAGCCGAACTACTTTCCCGCCGTCCGTAGCGCCACGCTACGGACGTTTAGGCGGATAAATTGAGTTTAGTATCGTCTGTTCATATAATTATATATAAATTAGGTACTGTACATATAATTATATATTAATTATATATAAATTAGGTACTGTATATATAATTATATATTAACTTAATTTATTGTAACTTTATTATAATTAAATATATATTTTTCGCCGTCTAGCGTCACGCTACGGCGAGTTAGGCGACCTATCGTCTGTCCAGTACTGTAATTTTATACATTTCTTGTGAAAGAAACATTTCTTATTTAACGGCCATAAAAATTATTTATATTAAGGATGTCTCCAAAGGTCAACGAAGTTTTCGCAGAAAAATAATATCAGAAATCGCGGCCGCGGTTTGATGCGCTGTTCCGCGACGAAACCAAGCTTTAGCAACGGGCGTAGTCGAACGGTACACACTCGGTAAGCAATCCTACAATTTTTTGTTTATAACGTAGTTTATACGGATTATTTTCAAAAAAATATACGTATTTTGGAAATGTTGAGTCGAATTAGTCTAGAATCGATTAATTTTATGAAAGAAAACCTTTCAAACAGCCGTAGTCCGTAAACTATGATTCCTACAAAATTGATTCATAAAGAACGGAACGTATCTACCGTCTTATAGGGAGATCTACTGTACTGTTTCCATAGAAATTTGTATTAATGCAAGTTGATTGTACTTTAGTATTATTAAAGAAGTTTGTAAATTATCAAAATTTCATTTTATTCTACAGGGTTTGTCCAATAAGTATCGGGACTAAAATCATAAAAATAAGTTTATTGAAGATATATATACAGTGAGTTAATTATCTTTAAAATATGACCCTCCTGCATCAACAGCTGCCAGTGCTTTTTCCAGTCTTCATACGCCCCTGGAAGCCTGCAACTGCAAGGCTGTTTAGGTACCCGTTGAAACCTCTTGGACTGCCTCAATTGTTCCAAAACAATGTCCTTTCAGACTCCTTTAGATCCAAGGGAACAAAAAAAGTTGGGGGCCACATATGGATTGTACGGTGGTTGAGACACATTGTGTTTGGCCAGTGCCTCCCTCACAATTAGCAACTTGTGACTGGGTGCATTGTTGTGATGGAACATTCATGTATCAGCAATCTCCCTTTGGACTTGGGGGACCCTAATCCTCAAACATCTGAGTACTTCTGCATAAAATTTACCATTCAATGTTTTGTCCAACAGGCACAAACTCCTTGTAGACCACACCTTTTGTATCAAAGAAGACAATGAGCATCGATTTCACTCTTGATTTACTCATGTGAGTCTTTTATGATCAAGAAGAGGTGCTTGTGTGCCACTCAGCCTTTTGGTATCTGGATCATACTTGAAAACCCAAGTTTCATCACTGGTTATCACTCTCAAAAAATCTGGATTAATCTCCAAACGTTCCAACAGTTCACAACAAATTGTCACTTGGTGTTTCTTCTGATAATACCTTCAGCACGAACTTTACGGACTCCTTCCACATTTGCAAATCATCAGTCACAATTGAATGCACAGTGGATTTCCCTAAATTTAACTCCTATACTATCAAATGAACACCTAACTGGTGATAAAAGTTCTTGCACTTTGGCCATGTTTTCATCGGTTCAAGTCACTGTTGAATGTCCAGCACATTGTTCATCTTTGATATCTTCCTGACCATCTTTGAATTTTTTATGCCACTCAAAAACACGTGTTCTGGACATGGCTTTGTCCTTGTAAGCTTTACAAATATCATCAAAAGTCTCCATACAAAGTCAAACACTGTGATGTGGGCTCCCTTATGTTAGATGCACTTGTCTTAAGAGCTCTATTAGTTCTATGGGGTTCTTGACGCTTAAATTGTAATCCCTCAGATGGTCCAATGCAATGTTGTGGACCGCTTTTTGTACTGTTATATCCCTCGATAAGATTATAACTATGCTTCTGCACTCTGAGGGATCTCTTATTCACCAATTGCAGAATGCCAATACATCGCAAACAGGTCTTAAAGATGGTACATCTCATGTGTTACAACTCCATATTCCAGTTTGACAACAGGACCTACCTACAAAAACATGGGGTACCCATGGGCAGCCTACTGTCTGGCAACTTATGTGAGTTAGTATTACGTAGACTAGAACAAAGAGTCATACCTGAGTATAGGTCCAATATAATTATATATAAGAGATATGTAGACAATGTATTTATCCTATGGAAAACAGAACCAAATGTCAATGATTTGTTAAGTCAAATGAACGACAATCCATATGGGCTGACCCTAAACTCGACCAATTAACCATCACCAACGCCTGCTTCCTAGACATACACCAGGCTCAATGGAGGAGTGGTCGATACCGGTATATACTATAAACCAGGCTATGTCCCATGGTTTATACCAGCAAACTCAGCTGACCCTTACTTGTATAAAATCGCAGCATTCAGAGCGTTAGTTAGGAAAGCATATACACACCCTTCCAATTGGAGGGACACAGCAATTGAACTACAGAATCTAAAGTGCATCACGATAACACATGGTTACAAAAAAGAAATAATACAGGGGGTTAGTGTGTGCCTATTCCAGACCATGTGATACACATGGTACACCCAACACTCAAAGAGCTTGCAACCAAGATTGGGATCGAAACCCAGCCAGCAGACGCACCACAGTTGAGTGCAACCAATGATTTCAAGCTTTATATAAAGAAATTGCAGTCAAAACTGGCACCAAATTAACATACTGAAGGTCCCCCACTATATATATATATATATATGTTATTACACAATGAAAAAGACAAACAGGATGATCTCAGGACTCTGGGAGTATACAGTATTCTGGTGTGAGATGACAAGTTTAGGTGAGAAATGGTGTATATCAGCTCCACTAAACGTTCCATCCAACAGAGAGTCAAGGAGCACAGATATGACAATAGACCATGCTCGTTACACCACTGCCTTATCCACTTATGCCACCAACCCAGAGGTTTATGCAGACCTATCCAGTGCCAAACTGATAAAATGACCACAGACCACACAGTGCCCTAGAAGCCCTTGAAATATACAGGGCCAGCCGGACAGGGAGATGTATAAACTCCAAAGATGGCAACATGCTTTCATACGCCTGGTGCTACTTATGAGAAGAGCAAGAAAGAGACAACACTCCATAGCATGTGCATATCTTCAAATTTATTTTATTTTAAAACTCAACATTCAAATTTATTTTAAAACTGAACATTGGAATGTGTTTCAAAAACCGTTATAAGTTTGGAATCTAATTTTCATTTAACCTGAAGCAGACCTCGGATGAGGCCGAAAATGTTTGTTCCAAAATCTAATATCAGTATTGGGGATAAAGGTTCAATGAGTATGTACAAGGGTGGTTTAATAATTTAATATTATTAATTTCCTACCTGGCTTTGTTGGAATTTTTATGTCTATAATATTCCCAAATTTTGAAAATTTTTGTTTCAGAGTATCTTCTGTAATCTGATTAAAAATAAAATTTATATTAATTAAATTTCTTTTGCATATTATCTACATTGTCTTTTCATGATTACAGTGCAGTCTTGCTAATCCAAGCTAACTATTGTATGGGGCTATTCAGATTAATAGGGTTAGAAACAAAATCAAAAAAAATTACACAGAAATATTGAAGCAGGTCCAGTAACAAATGTCAAGAGACATTTTTAATTTTTTTAATAAAATAAACAATATTAATTATATTTCATAATTATTGCCTTAAAGAAATGAAGTACAATGATATTTACTGTCATATTTTTTTTATGTCAATCAAAAATCTGAGGTTCTAGCAAATGTTTTAATAGTCATGCTCATTTTATAAGGAAAATGAATTCAAAAACTATAACATACTTATAAAGGAGATTCGTGTTTGCAATAAAAAATCTCATAGGAATTATTGTTCCATCACTGACCTTTGAATCCACTCCTGGACAAATGCATACTTACATATAAAATGTAATACTTTCAATTGAGTATTAAAAATTCACCAAAACAAGAAAAAACAGATTCAATTAGGCTTCAAGTATTTTCACTTGAAACGTGGCAACTTCTTCAGAAACTATGAAAATGGATTTTTTACACCCAATTCAAAGTATTGCACTTTATATTCAATAACTGTAGTGTATGCCTCCACAATTTTTTTTAATTATGCATATATGTATGTTAAAATATGTAGTATATATTAATTTTACAAATTTCTCATGTTTTAAAAAATAATCTATGTTTCTTTTTGTTTTTTGACTGTAACATTTAGTGGCAAGAGCAGATTTTAGATTAGTGCTAGTTTAGATTAGCAAAATTGCACTGTATTACATGTAATATTTATAATATATACGGTATGATCTAATGAAATCATTTGTTTCACATTATATTGGAATCAGTAATAACCAATTTAGGCTTGTTTGCAAGACATTTTCCAGTATGCTTTCTGTTTCTCATTGTTACAAATCTGGTATGACTACTGTGAGTAACTGTTTGTGAAACCACTTTTAAGCAATTTCTGAACATAGGAGTAATCATTCAATCTATAGAATTCAACAAGAATTATGGTGCTTTGCAGTCTCTGAATCAAAAAGTTGAATATATTAAGGGATTCTCAAATGCTTATGACAAACGTTAAGCAACAATAAATTACATGTTTCTTTAAATGCCTACAGAAGTATGCCAAAGGAAGAGAACTTTTTGTTTTAAATTGTGACAGGTAATGAAACACAATGGTACAGTACCACTTTAAACAAAAAGTCATTAACATAAAATAGCATCAGAGCTCACTTCCCCAAAAAAGTTCAAAGCACAGCTCATCCGCAAGGTGCCATGTTTATTTTCTTCTTTAATATGAAAGGTCACTATTGTTAAAATTCAAGGAATCATGATTAGAATCACAGAGTTGGAATTCAGAGTCACTATTAATTCAGAATGTTACAAATATACCATCCTTAACCTCTGCATCAAACAACAACAAAAGATCAAAAAAGATAACAGTATCTTGTTGCATGATAAATAGGCTTACCAGACGTCCCGCTTTGATGATGTATTCCCTGCATCCCAGCCAGTTTGTCATTTTGTCCCAGTTATTTGATAAGATTTTAAAAATGTTGAATATATAAGGAGTAAAAGTAGTGCAGCCTGGAGTAAAATGGCGATTTGACAACTAAAATGTCTCTTCTGTTAAAAAATATTTAGATTGGCAACAGTGAGTGTATCTAGATCTAAGTACTTTTAATGTTGTCTAGATGTTCCCCAAAATTTATAGCATGTGGTCTAATAAATTTAGATGTTTTATTTTTTCATCCAGAGATTTTTAAACAGAATTTAAAATAGCATGTAGCATATGACATCCAGATATTTTTATTTCATGTTTTAGATATCTCATTTCAATTAGAGTTGGCAAGACTGAAACTTATTCTGGCCACATCGTTGTTGCACACATTCTATCTTAGTTGAGTTCAAATTGCTAGTTGGCATTTGTGATTGTTTTGTACTGTACATTAAATTAATTTAATCTCCAAAATGCCAAAAAGAAACCATGTGTTTACTGATGAATTAAAAATAAATTTTCCATTTTTAAAAAAAGTTTGCGATTGTATCAACAAAGTAAACTGTGTCTTTCAAAATTTTCAGTAACAAGTGGACCTTCAGACATTAAAAATCACTTGAAATGTGAGAAACATAAGGCATGCCTAGTAGTGGCAGGAAGGAACGTCCTCAAATATATTGTCATATTTTTGAAGGTACCGATTTAAGTGACAAAGAATTTTTAAAGAGAGTTTACACTAGTGATAAATATTAATAACTTCTTAATAATAAGTCTGTTCAGTTAAGTTATTAAAAATTGCTTTTAACTCATTGTTTTTTGTTAACAACTTTTTATATAGCCTTTTCACAATATTAATTATATTTCATAATTATTGTCTTAAAGAAATGAAGTACAATGATATTTACTGTCATATTTTTTTATGTCAATCAAAAATCTGAGGTTCTAGCAAATGTTTTAATAGTCATGCTCATTTTATAAGGAAAATGAATTCAAAAACTATAACATACCTATAAGGGAGATTCATGTTTGCAATAAAAAATCTCAAAGGAGTTATTGCTCCATCACTGACCTTTGGATCCACTCCTGGACAAATGCATACATACATATAAAATGTAATACTTTCAATTAGTAGGCTTATCCTAGTAGGCTTTATTTTCTGTTGTCAGTATTTCCTCAAAATTGTCCCGGTTTGAGAAAAAAATATTATGGTAAGCCTAATGATAAAGTACAAGTGTACATTACCAAGATTACTGCTGGGTTTCTTGGGCAAAGGCAATGAGAGGTTTCACAGCATCTACCAAATTGCCATTTGATTTTTGTGTGTTTGCACCTTTCAGGAAAATTTTTAAAGTATGCAGATTTGCTACAAACAAGGAGGCTGCTACAAATGATTCAAAGAGTAGCCAAAAAAACTGTAAATGACAACAAAAAATTAGTCAAGCACAGGACTGACTGTCAGAGCTCTTTCTTTTAACATAAAAAAATCCCCATTTGTATCAACAGGTAACATTTTTTGAGTAAAATACACTCAAAATCTAAAAGGGGCATATACTGATTTCATTTGTTCATATCTTATATATTATTATATCATTAGTTATCAGTGTAAATAAACAACGTTAATTTAATTATAATTAATTTTAATATACCTAATCATACATGTAACTCATACTTTTTAAATTTTAATTTACTTTTAAAAGAACAGTGGCTAATCTCAATTATATTATTTTAATATCGATTTGTCAAATAATAACTACCTTAAATGATAAATTCCTGATTATAAGTCGTCCCTTTTTGTGTTTTTTTCTCATTTTTTTCTTTTCATCGTCGTCAATCATCTTTAAATAATAAATTTATTACAACAAATATTGATATTAGCTTTTTAGCTAACCCTAAATTGTCGAAAACAGCATGTTATCCACGTGACTAAAATTTAATATAGAAAACATTAAATTTATAAAAAAAAATACCAAAAAAATACTATTTCAGATAATTTTATACTAATTTATAAGTAATTAATAAAAATTATTAATTAATAAAAAATAATTTTTTAATTATAAATATTTGGTATTTTTGCCACTGTTAAATATTGGCGCTACTAGTCTTTTAATTTTTTAAATTCTTTTATGTGNAAAAAAAAAAAAAAAAAAAGTATATTCTTACACCTGCTGCCATCTATATGTGCTAAATAAAACTTTTTTGAATAATCATTCTCACTTAAAATATTTTAAAATTTTAAACCTTAATAAGTTGTGGAAAATTTTAAATATATAATAATTTTAAATGACTTTATTTAGACTTACTTTAATATATAAATTTATACATATATCTACATTATAACGAATTTTAATACTAAATAATTTTATTAATTTTATTATATTTTTTTAATTTTATCTAGAAAAGTTACAATAAAACTTATCTAATTTATATTATATATTTATATGGCTACAAAATTTTCAGAATGGAAAAGCAAGTTTCGCCATCTCGTAATGAAAAAAGGAATTAACTATTCAAAAATTTAAATTCTCTTTTCCGATTGGCTGTGTATTTCAAATACGACCAATGACGTTACGCTATTAATCATCTTGACTGCGCTCGTGCCGGGTTTGTACCGCTTTCTCCCCAGTCTTTTTTCAAGGTCATATGATTGATAATGTCCAAGGACGGGACCCTCGATCAGAAAATAGGTCAGAAGTCTTCCCAATCGAATTTCACCATATGACTTTCCCTAATGAGTGCAGCTGCCATTAAGATGGCGATTTTTCATAAAAAGCGGAATAAGTGACGCGAGGAGGGAGTCATCGATGCGTGCCCCGACATTTGGTAGATGCGTGACGGTATCCATCACGAGCAGCAGATGTATCATTCGTTTTCTTCGCGTTTGTGAGTGCGTAAAACTCGTTTGACCCCGAACAAACCTCCCGACTACCTCAAGCCTTTTAAAATTACTTTCTATCTCCGAAAATATGCCAGCCCAAACTACTATATCGATTTTTTTTTATTTTTTTGAATTTAAAAGATATTATGCTGATTCCTATCTGCAACTATGTAGCAAATTTCATCCCCTTAATCCTTTATTAACTTGAGCGAAAAAATGAATTCGTTAATGCCGAATTCAAAGTTCAACTGGCTCGTGTTGAACTTTCTCGTGTAGTAAACGAAATTAGTCACGTTGCCATTTTGAATTTTCGATTTACATTTAGTAAAATTAGCGCTTTTGTTTTTAAAATAAATCGGTTAAATGGACTGGAATTCATTTGCATTTTTTTTTTTTTTTTGTATTTGATGAAAGGTGTGAATATGATAAAAAAGCCATTTTTTCTAGATACGTCAACGAAGCAATGACGCATAGTAAAACCTGAATTTCGTAGTCATTATTTAATATAATGGTTTTTTTGTTAATCTTAGCATACCCGAAAGTTCAAATATTGTCCGTAAACTTTACTAACCTAGAAGAATATGTTCTTTAATTCTTTTATATTTTTTTATGTTCTACAAAAGTGTGCTTTGCGCTGAAATATCCATTCAAATTAAGTTATGTTTAAAGTGCGGAATGCATGTTTCATTCACGTACAATCCTTGGAGAGCACGCAACTACTCGATTCCATTCAAAATTTAAAAGAAAAATGAATATTTATAGAAATAACATACGATTTGGTTGCTTATTTAGAATCTAGTTGGAAAGAGCGCTTTACTAAAAGCACCCTCGCGGATTGAATTATAAATAATTATATATATATATATATATACATTTCTCTAGGAAAAAAACAATATATTTTTTTTCCTAGAGAAATGGGCTAAAGAACTTCGTTGAATCACGTGACTGGCAAGAAGGCCACATTTAAAAACCATCGCATTTACGTCACCACCGATCCAGCCAATAGAATGCCGCAAGACGGAAGCAATTACGGAAGGGGTTGGAGCGTGACAGAGCCGAAAAGTTCCGATTGTTGTCGACCAGCCCGCTTTAATGACGTCATTTGCATAAGCTTTCTGGGCCGGTTCTGGCCCATTTGGCCCAGATGCCGCTCCCACCTGGCTCCGCCCGACTGTGACTAGCCATGGTGTCCGGCTGCTCTCCTCGTCTTGCTGTTATGTGACTCCCCACCTCGACCAACGGGGTCACATGGGCCCGATTGATAACCTAAGCGAACCTAACCGGGTAACATTATTCTCTTTTGACTGACCTTCGCGCGACCGCTTTAACAGCCCCGAGGGCCGAATTTGCTGTAACAATAGTAGAGAGAGAAAGACCATCACGTGCTGTCTTTACTGTTCTATAGCAGAAAATATTTGTCAGTCACCGATCAATCTATACAAATTTCATTAGAGGGCTCTTAATGGTCCGCTTGCACAATGCAAGAGGCCATTAGTGAATTTATTGGCTTCTTTCTGTTCGTACCCAACACGAACAATTGCGTTGAAGAAAAACAAGAAAGCACTCATGAGCTTACGTTACTATTAATATAATAGTAAGTACGAGTTAAGCTGCGAACATTTGATAATGTTTGCACGGTCTTCGCCACCTAATTTATAACTCATGTACGATTTTGTATCTAAAAAACGACAGCAGTTACACGTGTAGGCGGGATAACGTACCACTCGTCTTTACCGCGTTTCGAATAAAAGAGGGAGAAGCTCTGTTATCCATTTTCAACATCCTACACTTCAGTAAACGACCTTCACTTATCTCTCCTCCTGCAGCAAGGGTGATAATTTGAGAAAAATTCTAGAATAGATAACGACTTCCTGGCTTCTTTTTTATTCTTTTTGCAGCATCAACTTGTCTTGACGATATTTCAAACGCATTTATCCCTATAGTAGTTTACGTGGATGGTTGTGAATTAGCTATTCTAATTTCTAGGGTCTTCTGCTTGGTAATGCCTGGCATTAAAATTTCAGGAAAAAGATTTCAGTAGTTAAATTTATCTCTCTTTTTTTCTCTTTTTTAGAACATCAGCGAGGATTTAAAACGTTTATTACTAAAGTAGTCTACTGGATAACTATAGATAAGATATTCTATTTCCTAATTCTTTAGCTTGATGATGGATCGCATCAGAAATTTCTAGAGAAAGGCTACCGGTTAATCTGCTTTTACGTTTAGGGCATATTCTTCGAGCTTTAGCAAAAATTTAAATCATTTTTATTCATACACTTGTCTATTAAAATACTAAATTCATTTATTAAATTTATTCATAAATAAACATAAATAAACTGTACTTTAATGGCTGATAAACTGTAAAACAAATAGATTAATTTTTTCTATCTTTTGAAATTTTGGTAATATTTTAATCACGCTCATTCTTATAATATTTTATTAATTAGACTGATTAGACACGTTTTAGTTTCTTCATTTTATAAATAAATATATTTTATAAAAGAACATTTTAATAAGGAATAATTATTATTCCTTTATTAACATTTGGCATCATTTTAACTGCATTTATTTTAGAGTATTAATCTTTAAAAACTGTAAATTATATATAAAAAATATTTTACTTGGTAGTTCTCTCTGTACATTTATCCTTATGACGAATGGAATTTCGTGACACTTCGATGAACATTTATTTCTACGGCAATCTATCAGGACCGTTATGTAAATGGATATTATTTTAATGTCACTGGGATGCGTAGAAACAAGTTAAATGCATTTAAAGTTTTAATTTTTCATTGCTCTTGCAGCATCAATTAATTTCTTTTTAATCCGTACTAAATTTGATTTAATTCTGTATTTTATTTTTGCAAGGCTCTTCATATTACATTAGATACTATTTACTGTCCTTGTCTAGTTGTTAGCATAAAAATCGAGCGATGTTAGATGCAAACGGGACAATCCTCTCAAGACTAGTCACATTACTGATGGAATTCTATAAAGAAAAAACGGGGGGAAAAGAGAGAAAAGAAAGAAGCTTTTAGAGTTTTCTCCTTATTCTGTAGCTGCATCCTTACTCTTGTTGCTGCAGAGGTACCGCGCCGAACTGCAGTAATTCGAGAGTGCAGATGAGTCATAGTCGAAATGGCAGGTGGCCCTTGGACAGGTGGGACGGCGCATTATTCACGAAGAAGTGCTGCTGCATATCTAATATAATCATCGATTTCTCCTTTTGCTCGCCCGTTAGCACCATTTTTAGTTTTGAGATTTCGATACGCGCTTTGCCAAACTGTAGTAAGCTAAGTTCACTACGTTACGGTGTTTAATAAATAATAAACAAAACTGTTGGATGGTGTAACCGCTTAGGAAACAATTTTCACCGGGCATTTATCACACGTTCTTTTTCACGTGGCGTGTTTTAACTGAAATTTCGGTGCCACAGTAATGCGAAACGGATTGTAATGTTAATAAAAGAATAGAGCACTTCTGGATGCTATTAAGATGATAAAGTAGAAATTGATGCGTTTGTCTGCCATGCTGGACCACCTGTAAAGCTATGCTACTATAGTAATTAAGATAAAATTTTGAAGGGAAACTTCGCTTTTGGGGATGGTTTGATTGATTATCTCACCTTTAACGACGCACTTGGGCACGAGTTGTTCACCCCCGAGTTTTCTATCCATTAACCCGCACTCACCCGTTTCTAGATGAAGACGTGACGTGATAGAGCGTTTTCTTTTCTCCGGAAGACATCGCGCGACAAAAAACAGGAAAAACTTACTTTTCCCGCTTTTAAAGACGGCACGTGACCTCGAGAGACTGCGTCACGTGACCTTTACTAATCGGGTTTTCGTAGAGCCTATTAGTAGGCGTTTTTCCCAATTCGCCCCGGGTGTTGCACGAGCAAAAGTAGTTAGTTACCTGCACCACCGTGGGAGCGTGTGCTAATGAGTCACGTGGCCAAGAGTCTGGTAATTTGGCTTAGGTGGACGAGCGAAAAGTGCTCGTACGTTACCTGACTAAACGGATGGATTATACTAAACTTAAAAAATTTACACTTA